GCAGAGCAGGGCTCTTCTATATTGGCTGGTTCCATCTCCAATCCCTTTTTGTCTGACTGGCATCAGGGAGCGCTTATACACATTCTGCCGTTTCAGTCCAGCCTTTTTGTCATTCCTCCTCCCCCTTTCACCCCCGATTTTTTTTTCCCCTTAACTGTCACAAATGTCCACAAGGAGTCGGCCATGAAATCTGTGCTGATTGGCGTGATCCTGAAGGGAATTTTTCTGCTAGCAGGTAATGAGATCTATAGAGTAATTGCGATGTGTCCTGAATGTTTGCATGCCTGCCTGGGGCAGGGAGCTGGTTGTGCGATTAGTGGTAGCTGAAGGCATGAGAAGGAACAGGAATTGACTAGAAATGAAGAATGTTTTTTATTTTGAAGAGACCTAAAGTTTTGTTTTGGAAACTTTAGGGGAAGGAATTTCCTTGTTGCTGCAAAGATGAAAGCAGAGCTGTCAGCATGCTCTGTGGGCATCCTTGCTGCAGTCCTGCCCTGCTCGGTGCAGTGATCCAACCCGGGGTGTTCCAAGGCTTGGGTCCTTGGTTTTGGCCTCAGAGTACTGTGTAAACACACAGATGTCTCCTGGTAGTCCTGTGAAAAGCTGGGTTTGCTTTTAGAAAGGTTTCCGCAATTTCCCTTTTTCCTTTTCACGATGTAAAACTCCTTTCTTGAGAAGCAGTTTTTGTTTCGACTCCGAGGACAACCCCTTTGGTGGCCTGTGCACTTCTCCATCTCCTCCCCCACTGTCCCCTTGAGTAGTGCGCCGTGGGGGAGAGGTCAAAGCAGCGTGTTGCCATGGCACTAATTGTGCAAATATAATTGTGTCGGGTCCGTTTGCAGCTAATTCTCTTTCTTCCCCCTCTCTCCCTCCCCTCCTTTTTTCTTTTGATAATAATAATACAAACCCTAATTAGGATGCAGCAGGGAAAGGTTGCTAGGAATTCTACTGTCTTACGGGTGAGGGCAAGCCGGTGCTGGCCAGGAAGCCCTGACGAACCCCCATGTTTCAAGATTGGGCCCATGAATAGACCTTGTCCTTAAAGTATTGGGTTTTTTTTATATGACAGCTAAATGAGAAGATTTCTCTTTCTGTGTGTTTATTCTTTGAATTTATTATGTGTCTGTTTGAAGTATGTGATTTATACTCTGTATACAATGAATCCTTATTAATAGCACAGTCAGTAAATTGTCACCTTCATTCAGGGAATGGTGATCTGTATGGATTTTAGCAACACTTGATTTATGAAACAAGACTATTCTCACCACATAGGTAACACTTCAGAATCTAGTGACTAGATTTGTATTTGAAACTACTGCAAGCTCTAAAAGCTCAGTAACTTCTGAGTGTCTGTTTCTGCACCAGCCCCTGCGGGTTGTTACCTTGGGACTGTTTGTTAGCTTAAACACTGCTAAATTAACTGGAATGTTTGAAAATACTTGTCTCCAGATAGCAGCCTTTAAATAACACTTGTCTGATTTTCAGATAACGAGTTCCACTGGCTTGTGTATGTGTCTTTAACTAGATAAGAAACTCATTAAGTATTTTGAAGTCTCCTAATGATGTGATGAATCAGGTTGGCAACAATGCTCTTCCTATTGATACTTCAAATAATGGTAAACATCTGAGCTAAGAAATATAGAGGCAACAGAGAAGAACAGGTTAAGAGTAACTTGGTTTTGTGAAATGGAGTTGTCCCCACTCTCTTATTTTTTTCAGTAGACCTGAAAAGGGATGCCTCAGCTTCCTTTAAGAAGAACACATTAGTTTTGAACTTTGTAATATGACTTTCCAGTGGGTTTGTGAAGACACAACTATCTGTGTCTTGGAGACGATTGGAATAACGGATATTCAGGAAATGCTTTGTACTTCTGGATACTGTAATGGCCCATGGCAAAAATCGTATTCTTCTGAAGCAGGGAAAAGTTTCTTTTATTTTGCTGTCATCCTTTTCTTCATTTACACTCTGTCATCTGCAGCCCAAACCTAAAATTACAGACTAATTTGCAGCACTGAAATGAGCAGCCAGGAAGCAACATGCAACAGAAATCTCCTTTTGTTTTGGTGTAAATGAAGAATTTGGCAAACTAGAGATTTTCAAACCCAGTTGACAAGAATCACTGGCGATACTGAAGAAGGAGAGAGGGCGAGACAGCTGAGTGGTGAAGGGAATGTCACCAAGAGGCATATAAGGAGTTAGTGATGTAGCACATGTAACTTCAGTAAGGGGTGACTTTGGCTTCCAGGAAAAAACTTGTCATTAGCCAGATTCTCAGAACTCTTGCAGTTTACTCTGTTATCAGTTTGTTCTAAAAACTGCTCCAAATTCAAATCTGGCTCTGCACTGGTTTCTAGGAGGGCAGGAATACCTTAGGGGTCATTTTAGAGGTGCTTTCCTCCTCCTGCTTTAGTCCTGTGAAGGCTGGCTGTTTGCAGAAACAATGGCAGTGACAAAGATTATACTTGTGGCTCTGGTTCCTCTAGGAAGAGCTGTCCTCCTCTCTTCCTGCTGCTCTGCCCTCCTTTCCTGCTGCTGAATGCTTCTTCCCTTTGCCTGTTTGTAAGCTGTAAGGTTAGACAGCAGCGTGTAAAGATGTGAAGTGTCAGCTTATTCTTTTCACCCATTTCAAACCACTAATCTAAGAAAATCAAACCAGCTGCATCCCATGGGAAAGCTTGCTGTTTAATTAGCCACCAGCCTGGGGTTGTGCACTCACCATAGGGACTAATTTGCCACCTGGTGTGAAGCGCTCAGCCCACAGGTATCAGCTGGGAAGCTGCCTAGGCCAGATTCCTGCT